GCCAGGGCTGTTGAGAAAACAGCCACCTGCCCCAGAGAGACGGTCACTGGAGTCCTCACTCCCAGTCCGCCATGCTCTAACCACTCTCCTCCCACAGCTGGGGATAGAACCCAGCAGTCCTGGCTCCCAGTCCCGTGTTCTAACCACAGGACACCACTCTCCTTCCAGGGCCAGGGAGAGAACCCAGGCGTCCTGGCTCCTAGCCCCCTGCTTTAATCACTAGACCCCACTCGCCTCCCAGAGCCAGGGACAGAACCCAGGCCTCGCGACCCCCAGTCCCGCCTTTCTTCCTCCCCTTATTCTCCAGCGAGATCTTTGTGCTCCCTGCAATTCTCACCCCACTCTGCAGAGGGCATCCTCCCAGCTGGTGGGGCTCATCGAGGGGGGGGACTTTTTAGTGCCTGGGTGTCCTCGTTACCTCTCCCATGTACAGACCAAGGCTGTGTTGGCTGATGCCTTTAGGGGTCTAAGTGGGGCAGGGGATGGGTGCTAAGGGCCCGTCTCTCTGTCTGCTGACCCCTCCCTTCTCTCCACCCCATCTCCGCAGAGGCTGAGGGACCAGATCAAGACGTGGGTGGCTTCAAATGAGATCAAAGACAAGAGGCAGCTGATAGACAACCGGAAACTCATTGAGACGGTAGGAGGCCAAAGGGGGTAATGGCCAGGCTTCAGGGCTGCAGCCTGTCGGGGTCAGGAAGGAAGTTTTGCCCCCGATCAGGAGCTGTAACCGGCGAGTTTTTCCTCCAACTGTGGCAGCAGCAGCAGTCGGCTGGCGGGGGCCGCGCTGCTCTGAAACAGTCCTGCCTGGCAGGTGTCTCTTGCTCACGTGTGGGGACCCGCCAGACTTGGGGGCGGGAGAGCATCTCCCTCCAGCGCACGGGGCAGAGACCTGGGGGATTTTCTGGCCCGTCCTGTGCTGCCTGGGGCGCAGCTCCAGCAGCGTGGATCTCGGTGTCGGCACCTCGGTTTTAGTGGCACAGTTTAGCCAACCACGAGCAGAGACGCTTTGATCTGGCGAAAGTTTCCGGGCGCTGGGGGAAAGCAAATGGGGGGAAGGGCTGGCCAGCTGGTCTGGTGGGTGAGAGCGGGGGAGGGGGGATTTTGTGCCCCGCTTCCCGACCGTCAAGGGGGTTGCGCTGGCTGGCTGCATCTGGGGTTGGTGGATCACAGGGCCGGCCCTAGCGACACTGCGCTGGTGGAGGCTCCTGTGCGCTCAATCGCTCCACACTCGCAGGAGGCAGCGGTGGGATAGTTGGAGGAGTGCCAGGACTCCTGGGTCCTCTCCCCAGCTCTGGGCGGGGAGTGGGGTCTAGTTGTTGCGGGGTGGGGCTGGGAGCCAGGAGTCTTGGGTTCTCTCCCTGGCTCGGGGGAGGGGGTCCTAGTGGTTCGGTGGGGGCTGGGAGTCAGGACTCCTGGGTTCTCTCCCTGGCTCTGGGAGGGGAGTGGGGTCTAGTGGTTAGAGCAGGGGGCTGGGAGCCAGCACCAGGGCCCAGCTCCCCCTGCCAGTGGCGCAGTGTCACTTCCGTCCTGGCACAGCCGTGCAGCCATCCCACAATGCTCCTGGCCTTCTCTGTGGGGCCAGCATACCTGACCCCCCCAGGGCAGGTCTCCATGCGCTGCGGGGGGATCCGTGTATGGATCACCTCCAGCGATGCTCAGGCCCACTCTCTGGGGTCCTGGAGCCCCCCCCACGAGCAGCTGTGCCTGGCCCTGGGCCCTTCTCTCCCAGCCCAGCCCCCACGGAGATCCGGTCGGGGCAGCCTTGGCCATGGGGAGAACAGGGAAACGGGCCACAGAGGGTATAAAGCTCAGGGGCTGAGTGACAGCAGCTGGGATCATGCCCCGTGGGTGGTGAGGCCTCCCCTAGGGGCATCAGGGGCACTTCCCCCTCCAGCGTAGGGGGGTCCACCTACATACTCATCTGAGCCCCACCCTCCTCTCCAATAAGCCACTCCTCCCTCTGCTATGATTGGCTGCGGGGGCAGTGTGACATCACAGAGGGCAGCCAGCTGGCAGGGCAGGGGCAGGTGGAGTCAGATCTGGAAGGGGTAGGGCCGGACTGGGGCCTCTGGGGCATGAGACTGGGTCCTGAATGACAGCAGGCGGCACGGGATAGCGGTGGGGGCACCAGGAGCTAGGACTCCTGGGTTCTGTGCCTGGCTCTGGGAGGGGAGTGGGATCTAGTGATTGGGGCTGGGAGCCAGGAGCAGCTGAGAGGCTGCCAGGCGTGGCCAACCAGGGCTATATTTGCCGTGCCCTGGACAGGATTGGGGGGCTGGGGAGCCTCTATGTCTCTTGGGGTTTCTTGATCCCCTGTGTAGGGGTGGGGGACACCCCCCCCAGTTCCCCAGACACTGAACCCACCCCATCTCCCTCTCTCTTGTTCCAGCAAATGGAGCGGTTCAAGGTGGTGGAGCGGGAGACCAAGACCAAAGCCTACTCCAAGGAGGGGTTGGGCCTGGCACAGAAAGTCGACCCTGCCCAGAAGGAGAAGGAAGAGGTTGGCCAGTGGTTAACGGTGAGGCCGGGGGATGGGAGTGGGGGGCGGGTTTCCTGATCAGCTAAGCAGGGGTTGGACTGATGGGGGCATGCGGAGGGGCCAAAGCTGTGAGGAAAAACAGGGCTCTCTCCCCTGCTGGCCCTGGGGTGGCGCTAGGGGGCGCTGTGCTGCACGGCACGGGGGGCTGGCACGGGGTGGTCTCCCCTTAGTCATTGCTGGTCTGAAGGCCCCAGTGTGGGTCTCCGTCCTGAACAGCCTCCGCATCCTACCTCAGAGGGGCCGCGTCTCAGTGCCCATGAAGGGTCCCTGAATAACCAGCCCCCGTACCACACCCCAGAGGTGGTCGCATCCCAGCACCAGGCGAGGGGCCCCTGTATGGCTTGCTGCCTTTCTGCAGGGCAGTTGGAGGCTTTATATTTGCCTGCGATCTTCAGTGAGGAAGCACCAGCGAAGGCCCCAGGTAGTGGTGGGGGGCGGCTGCTGGGTGTCTCGAGGGGCTGCGAGCCCCCAGAGACTGCGCTGGGGATGACGATGTGCGACTCCCCCCTCCCCCCCCCCAGAACACCATCGACACGCTGAACATGCAGGTGGATCAGTTTGAGAGCGAGGTGGAGTCACTCTCTGTGCAGACACGCAAGAAGAAGGGGGACAAGGATGTGAGTCACTGCCTGCCTGGGATGCAGGGAGGATGTGTGGGGAGGCAGCTTGGTGAGGGGCGAGAGTGCGGGGAGCTAGGACTCCTGGGTTCTCTCCCTGGCACTGGGAGGGGAGTGGGGGCTGGTGGTTAGAGCAGGGGAGCTGGGAGCCAGGACTCCTGGGTTCTGTCCCCAGCTCTGGGAGGGGGTGGGGGCGTGGTGGTTAGGAGGCAGGG